GTCGTAGGTATCCCAGTATGGTAAGCTGGGTATGTTGTTATCGTCCTGGGTTACTGGCTTATTTTCTGTAGTGGGTGCGTTCGGAATTGCGTCACCGTTTGGGTCCCTGAAACAAGTAGATATAACTTTAATATAAAAAGTTCTTTTAATAAAAAAAAAACATCTGTTCAAAAAACTGCTTAGATTAAAAAGTGTTCTTCGTCTTTCCTCTAACTACGTTTTCAATCGATTACTCAATTCGCATCCGTTTCACAAAAAGTCACGTGAAGTGGCGTCGTTTTTTACTAAATATATTACGGAAAATTCACACAAGTTTTGTGGACATGTCTAGATTCTGTCTTCTGATTTAAATTTAATTTTTAAGCTCACAAAACATATTGTGAATTTAATATCGTTTAGTAATTATCATTATATATCAATAAACCATTTTGCAAAATATATTTTTTTTGTGAAAATACGTAAAAATACATAATTTTTAATTTTTTTTGTTAAAAACATTATAATGTGTAATGTATGAGCATTGTAGCCTTTTGTAGCTAAACGATTAGATTTTTACAAATTGTAAATTTTGGGTTTGTTGAAGGACTATTAGAGCTACAATTAAAAATATTTTTACAAGATATAGAGTGTCCCAAATTACTAGCTTTAAACGGAAATAACTTGTTTGATTTAAATGGAACACCCTGTATATTTTACGAGAATCAGATGCACAATTTAATTGTCCATCAAATTTTATCATAGAATTTTTACCTATCTCTTCAGGTTTTCGTAGAAAATGCATTTTCTTATAATTTAGACCCCATTTATCATACCCATGGAATATTGACATTTTAGATCGCTTTTAGAGGCGTACCAAATTTTCAAAGAGTACAAATACTAATATTATATTATAAAAAATAAAAAAAAAAACTGTTTAAATATCTTTTGTTAAAGATGACCAATTAATATGACCCCATTATTCAAATAAATTAATTGACTCTTTATGTTGATTAATAATAACTGCTCCAAATATGATACCCTTGGAGAAATGAAGCTAGTAGAATTTTACAAAGTTGAAAATATTTCAAAACCGGTAAGGTTTAAGTGTGATATAACTTAATTAAATTTACCTTTATTTCAATCGTAGAATCTAAAAATAGAATAATATACAGGGTGTTTCATTAAAAAAAATACAACTATAATATTTTTTACTTATTTGGGACACTCTATATCTTGTATGTTTTTAAATTGTATCTCTAATAGACCTTCAACGAACCCAAAACTTACAATTTGTAAAAATCTAATCGTTTAGCTACAATACTCTGTGTCATATAATGTGGTAAACAACGCTGTATATATTTTTTGTAAAATTACATATAATTTTTTCGGTGTATATATAAGCTCCTATAACGTTTCTTAAAGCCTTTTTTTGTATTAATCCTATTAAACCATTTTTAAATTAAACTTTATTAAAGCATCAAAACGTACACACATTAAAAAGAGGGGAATATTATCCCAAAAATAAAAATGAAAACCCGAGAGTGGCGATCGCTGCAAAATTTTTCATCGAAATAAATCGACTCGGTATTTAAGCCGCTCATAAACAGGCTCGTGCTGATGACGTGGAGCGATGCGTAAAGTGAATTACGTTTATTTACGGAAATAATAGGGGAAGATGGGGTAAATAGGGACGGGCCTCGTTAACGTCACATGACCCCGAGTGCCTAAACTATATTCGCGAGGTTATTAGGATTTGCGGGATATAATTATGAATTGAAGATGAGCATAATTTTATTATGAATCCATTCTATAATTATGTTACATAACAATAAGTTGTATTACATAACAATATGTCTTAAGGCTCCAGTACACGTTTGGCCAACTAGTTGGGCCAACGTGTACAGAACCACTTGGCGTTAATTGGTGATTGGCAGCCAGCGTTGGTTTACAAACCGAACGTTGTCGGTTTTTCGTGAACACATCAAAGGACCTTGGTGCGATATACAAAACAGCGTTTACACGTTGGTCGTTGGTTGAGACTTGTTTGTGTTTCGAGTTGCTATCGGAAGAAAGTACAGTACAGTACGTCTGCTGGATCTGTCTCTATGAAAGGAATAAGCTTTGGACTAAGCATCCAGCAATTTCTTTTACGCCATTTTTTTTAATCACTTTCGTTTGGTGCACCACCTTTCTATAAAAATTGAATGCACTGTACAAATAAATTGCCGCGGCTGCGATGGTTTCCACATCCATCCTTCTCGTCTATAAATGGCCAATGCAGACTGAGCAACTTTACCAACGTGTAAGCACTGTACGTATTTTTGGCCCAACTCATTGGTCCAACTAGTTGGCCAAACGTGTACTGGAGCCTTTATAAATATCGCTTACTTCCTACCACCAGCATCCTTTCTGCCGAACTTTTTGCTATTAAGGAATCACTAAGAGTAATCTCCAACCTACCTCCTTCCAAATGGATGATATGTTCAGATTCACTAAAAGCAATACAATGCCTAAACGAATTATCACCAAAACATCCTCTAGCCGTTAAACCGCTGGACTTGCATCACTCTTCAATATCTAAAGGTTCAACCGTGGATCTAGTATGGATTCCTAGCCATGTGGGTATAAGAGGTAATGAAGATGCTGATAAGATTGCTAAGACTGCGGCAAATGATGGAGATTTTATACCACTTGCATTTTCTATCTCTGAACTTAAACTTCTACATATGTCCACAATAAAAAGCGGTATCCAGGCAGAGTGGGAAGTGACCGGAGATTCAAATAAGCTATATGAATGTAAACCTCAATTCTTTCAAGTTTCTGTAGCTCGGTCACTGTCCAGAAGTGAGGAAGTCATTTGGAATCGGCTCAGGTTGGGTCACTGCTATTTCACCTATTCTTTCCTTTTAAAAGGCGACCCCCCGCCTAACTGATCTCATTGTGGCAACCAATTAACAGTGTACTACTTCCTAATAGAATGTCCCTCCTTCAATAACTTAAGACAATCATTTGGTCTGAATGGCGATCTGGCTTCCGTTCTTGATGCTAATAACCTACATTCTTTGTTCCAATTTATTAGGACATCGGGTTTGGGTTCATTAATATAATTTAATTTAACTTTAATTTGATCAATGCCGCTAAATGGCCCAGCAGCTGATGCGGTTTATATAAAATCCTTCTTCTTCTTCTTCTTGTATGATTATGTTAATATACAGAGCGAGCCACAATAATTGAAGTAGCTGCCAGTAGGGTTTCCGGAACCGGAGCTGTTTTTCGGAACCGGAAATTTCGGTACCGCGCCTTTTAGAAACCGGGATTTCCCGAAATAATATTGGTCAAGTGCGAGTCGGACTCGCGCACGAAGGGTTCCGTACCATTCATTATCTATACCAACATTAGACACTATATTATTATAAACTTTTTTTCTGATTTAGCTGAAATTTTGAATGCGCGTATAAGTAATTTAAAAAAAAATGAAGAAACACATAACTAAAAATTGTATTAATCAATAATAAATATGTAAAAAGTAAAAATAAATATGTAAAAATATGTAAAAATAAAAAAAAACGATTAAAAAAAGTCGCCTTGACCCGGATTCGAACCTGCCTTACTACAGCTCCAACGTCATATAGCAGCGTAAAGTCCTAACGCTTTAACCACGCGGCCACCGAGGATTTGAAAGATTCTATGTAAAATTCTTACTTAAAAGATAATGTTTAGTGAAAGTACTTTTATTATTTATAAACATTTATTTAATTCTGTTTTTAGTATTTTGTTCTTATAGCGGCAACATAGATACATTATCTGTAAAAATTTCAACTGTCTAGCTATAACGGTTCATAAGATAGATCTTTGTGACAGACGGACGGACGGACAGCGAAGTCTTAGTAATAGGGTTCCCGTTTTTACCCTTTGGGTACGGAACCCTATAAAAAATTTAGCTGACTGAAATTTCATATCAAGCAACATAAACCAACTTAAATGAATTTGAGACAAAATCCCTAAAATATTGAATTGAAAATGCAAATATTTATTAAAACATAAATGTAAAAAAAACGAAATAGAATGTAGAAAACGAAATGTAGAAACAGAATGTATAGTGAGAATCAACCTTTTTTATACGAAGAAAATCTCTGTATGAAAAAAACCATACGCTGAAATGAGAATTTCTCTACCAATCGTAACATATATATTTATAACACGTTGTGACATATCAATATAAAAGTAATAGCGTATCTTGCCATGACTTGTTGATTTTATATGATATCCAGTTTCTTCTTTCACAGACTCTATCAAAAAATAGATAAATTACAATGAAGTCTCTATAAATATGCTTTAAGTCTCTTAAATATGACGGAAAATTTCATTCTATGTATATAAACATCGATAAGACGCGTATGATAAAAACAAAGTATTAAAATTTGTTTAGCTTTGTTTTAAAAATATAATTGATAAATTGATGGATTAAAGATAGGTAATCTTTAAAAAAATATTTTATTTAAATTAATAATAAGTACGCATGTCATTAGACTTAAAAGTTTTTAAAGAAACAATCCCCAAGAAAAAACAATCTGTCTTTTAGTTTTCAGGACAGATTTTACTTTGCGAGTAGAATAAAATCCAATTAAATATAACAAGGAGAAGTTCTGAAATCTGAATGAGACAGTTTTATTAAGAGCCTTTAAAAATTCAGAGAAAAGAAAAATTCGGATTAGGCCGAACTAATTCAAGTCATTAGCAGAAATAAGTATTTGTGAAGGAAATGAGATTAAAGATGGCTCAGGTTTTCTGTTATCAGTGGCGCATCTAGAGATTGAGTCTGGGAGGGTAGTGTGAATATTCAAAAAGTACCAAATTTGAATTAAATTTTGCTTGAAGGTATTGTAACTGTGGAAAAAATCAACTTGGATTGTTTGATATTCTGTTTTAATTTGTATTATTGACTTTTGTAACAATTTTATTTTTTACCAAATTTTTTTTTTTTTTTTAAATATTTTTTTCTGGGGGGTGTAATTACACCAATTAGCCCTCCTGTATATTAATGCCCCTGTATAGGGTATTCTTTCTCTACAATTCTGTTTCACAATGTAACTCCTTTTCTAACTGGGAAGGGTCTATAGTTTCATA